TATTTCTTCCAATAACTCTCAAAAACCATTAATTACTACATATATAAATAACCAAAATAAGTGGTAAATAAATGACTAACAGCAACTCCAACGGAGTTATTAAATGGGTTATCAAACCTCTTAACCTCCATTTGACTCCCCAATTTTAAAAATTCTCTCTTCCAATCGGTTATTAAAATAGGGTTCTATTTTGATAATTCATCATTCGGGTGGTAAAAATACATCCCAAATAAATAGTTATCAAATATTCTCCTAAAAAATAGGAGCATGTGAAAAAAGAAACACCTCAACATAATTGAGTTTTCTTTTCTTTACGTAAAAATCTCAACAGAATAAAATTAATTTTTCTACATCTTCAACAAATTTCCACTGGAAAAAAATCTCAACAGAATAAAATTAAATTTTCTACGTTTTCAACATATTTTTTTTTCTTTCTCTAGAGCTTCAACAAAGTTCCACGGAAAAAAATAATCTCTATTTATATATAATTTTTTTTTGTCTATTGAAAAGGTAAAATTTTGATTAATATTGATTTTGAAGATAGTTTACCAGAAAAATCGGTTTGTATGGTTATTTAAAATGGATTAAAAAATAAATAATATATAAATAATCATAAATTTGTTTGATAATTGTTTTTTGATATTTGTGGTTGGAGTTCACTAGTTGTATAGAGATATCAAAGTATAATCCTGATTATCATATGAGTATTTGATAACAATGGGTTGGAGTTGCTCTAAGCGGGAAAATTATAGTCAAATATATACAAATCGAATACTTATCAATTATCTATACTAGCTCAAAGATTTTGTTACGACGATGAACATATAACAATATTGATATTACAAACGTAATTTTTGAAAGAAAAAAAATCAAAATTTTGGTAAACATTTTAGGAAATTCATATCAAATATCGAAATATAATATGTATTCCAATTATGTACCAAATAAAACCGAAAAATTGAAACTTTAGAAATTCGGAATAAAAAATATTGTTACTTTGGTAAATATGATTATAATCATAGGGTTTTCAATGGAATTAATGCAGATGCAATAATATTGAGGTTACAAATTACAAATACATTTTTTTGAGAGGACAAATTACAAATACATAATAGAAGGAAGAATCAAAACAGTGCATATATTTGTTGAAGACCAAAAGAATAAGAATGTGGTAGCATTTTGGTTTATTTTTCAAGGTTTCTTTGGTTCATCTCCTCCATCATGACCACCACCACCACCTATTCCTCCCCCAAAACCACCACCACCACCGCCACCAATTCCGCCACCTATTACTTTGCCGATACCTCCACCGAAACCACCGCCAACTCCTCCACCGGTACCTCCTCCAAATCCACCACCACCACCAAATCCTCCACCTCCACCACCACCACCAAATCCTCCACCACCGCCTATTCCTCCACCGAGTCCACCTCCCATACCGCCACCAGCTCCTCCACCTCCACCTCCGATTCCACCTCCAATTCCACCTCCAATTCCTCCTCCTATGCCTCCACCAGCACCACCGCCTCCTCCTCCTGCCCCGCCACCAATGCCTCCACCGGCACCACCACCAAGTTCCAACTTTCC